GCTACCAACGGCGGCAGTGGCTGGGGCGGAATAGCGGGCAACTACTGCGTCAAACAGTTCCTTAGCAGTCTTAAGCTGGTTGAAGTGTGCGCGCTCGGAGATCCGCAGGTGGTTGCGAATAGCTAGGCGGGCAAGGGCATCGCGGGTCTGCCATTCAGCGCGATCAGAGGCAGGAGCAGTAGCAGCGGGAGCAGGGGCAGTGCCATTGACATAGTCTAGCAGAGAGGCTCCGTCCGTGCAAAAGGTAGAGCTGCAGGTCACTGAGCCAGGTGTCAAACTGAACAGGACTACCGTCAGGCTCAAAGTCGAGAACAGAAATAGTCGCCATGGTCACAGGGCGGGGAAATGCAGCAGGCACAGGCTCAGGCTCAGGCGCAGGCAGCAGGCAGGCTGAGGCAGGGCAGGGTGGCGGCGCACAAGCGTTGCGAGCGTGACGGCCGCTCGTACGCGGCGGTTGGGTGCGGCAGCAGGCTGCGCGCGCGGCAGCGGGCTGCGTGCGGCAGAGGGTACGCGGCGGCGGGCTGCGTGGCGACGGGCGGCGCACGGGCAGCGGGCTGCGTGCGGCAAAGGGTGCACGGCGGCGGGCTGCGCAGCGACGGGCGGCGCACGGGCAGGGCACGCGCGGCTGCGGGCTACGCGTGGCGAGGCTACGGCGGCGGGCGAACAGGCGGCGTAGGCGGGGCGCGCGGCGCACAGGGCAGCAGCGGGCTGCGGGCTGCTTTCGCGGGGCGCGCGCTAAAAAGAAAAGACGCGCGCGCCTTCGAGGCGCACGCAGGCAGCAGGCTAGGCAGGCAAGGCAAGGCACGCACGGCTGTAGGTGAGGTAACGCAGTAACCGGTGGGCCCGAACTTAGGTCCTAAGACCTACTGCTCTAGATACCATCTCAGAATCTAGTCAAGGGAATGGTTGGATTAGGTCAAGGGGGGGTACAAGAAGAATGTCGAGAGAAATTCTGTACCCCCTAGTGCTACCCCACTACAGCCTAGACAAAGCCAACATACAAATATAGTTTGACACCCGGTTCCTCCCCCTCCTCTCTTCCTGGCTCCCGCCCCACCTCTTGCTCCCCCGGTACAGCCTCCCCCCCCTGGTCCAGCCCCGTCAGGTGTGTCCCACGCTACCCCTCCCCCCTCGGTAGCCCCTCAGGTACTGTCTCCTTCCCCGCAGTCCTCCTCGCAGCCTGCTGCAGTCCCGGCCGGTGCTCGCTCTAGAGGAGTTGGAGTTGGAGTTGGAGTTGGGAGCGTACCTGTGCTGGGCCCTGGTTCTGGGGGTGCTGGAGTTGCGGGTGAGCTTGAGACTGCAGGAGAGTCTCCACTTCCGGGAGCTGGTGCTGGTGACACGTCTGGGGGTGACACGTCTGGGGGTGCAGTTTCTGGTGACCCTGGCCGGGTTGCGGTTCCTGGTGCTGACTCTGGGGGTGGTGCACCTGGTGTTCCTGGTGGCGCTCCTGCGTCTGCTGCCGCCCAGGACGCTACACCTCCTCCCCACCCCTACCCGACCCGCCACCAGGCTCGTGTTTGTCGTGCACGTGAGGAGCAGTTGGAGTTGGAGAGAGAGGAGAGAGAGTTGCAGCAGCTGGTGGAGCAGCAGCAGCAGCAGCAGCAGCAGCCGGAGCAGCCGTCGCAGGAGCAGCGGCCGCCACCTCCTCCTCCTGTCTCTGGTCTTCGGGCCCTCGGTCTCCCCTCTCGCTCTCCTTCCTCCTCCCCCTCTCCTCCCGTCTGCTCCTCCCCTTCCTCCTCCTGACCCTTCGCCTCCTGTTTACGGCCCCACGTTTCCTCCTCCTGACTCCTCCCCTGCTGTCTTCCCTCGTTCTCCCCATCAGTTGTCTGCGACTCCTTCCCACGCTTGGACCTCCCGTCGCTCTCCTCGTGCTCGTCCTTCGTCCCCTGTTGCTCTCACTGACCTCCGTACTGCCCTGTTCCGTTCTCGTCCGCCCAGTTCTCCTCCTTCTGTACTTCCTTCTCCTCCTGAGTCTGCCCTCACTGCTTCTCTCTCTACTCCCGTCACTGACTACTACCGTACCTACCGTCCTGTCCTCTCTCGAGTTCTCGCCTCTCTTGTTACCCACCCACGTGCCTCTCTGTCCTCTGTCTCCGCTCTTACTGCCGCAGTCACTGAGTTTGCCTCTACTCGCCGCCTTGACTACGCCACCGCTCTTGTGGCTGCTCCTCCTACCAGTCCTCTGGCCGTCGGGGGTGAGTTTGCCCTTGGCTGTGACGCCCTAGAGGACAGGCAGTTTGAGCTAGAGTTCCTGGCCGCCGCTTCCCCTCATCTCTGTGCCATGCTCCTCTCCCCTGAGGGAGACCCCGACGCCCTTGACATACCGACTCCTCGCACTTACGCTGAGGCAGTGTCAGGGCCTTGGGCCTCTCAGTGGAGAGCTGCCATGGACGCAGAGATGGCTTCCTACAGATCCACAGGCACCTACGTCGACGAGGTTTCCCCCCCTGGGGCGAACGTAGTCGATGGCATGTGGATCTACAGGGTGAAGCGGCCACCAGGATCTCCTCCCGTCTTCAAGGCGCGCTACGTGGCTAGAGGTTTCAGTCAGCGCGAGGGAGTTGACTTCTTTCAGACCTTCGCGCCTACCCCGAAGATGACCACTCTTCGGGTGTTACTGCACGTAGCAGCATAGAGAGACTACGAGTTACACTCTCTAGACTTCTCCACTGCTTTCCTTCAGGGTAGCCTTCACGAGGAGGTCTGGCTTCGTCGTCCCTCTGCCTTCACTGGCTCTTTCCCTCCTGGGACCCAGTGGAGGCTGAGGCGACCGGTTTACGGTCTTCGTCAGGCTCCTCGTGAGTGGCACGACACCCTTCGTTCTACCCTGTCTGACCTTGGTTTCCAGCCGTCTTCTGCTGACCCTTCACTGTTCGTTCGTCGAGGTACCACACCGTTCTTTGTTCTTGTCTACGTCGACGACCTAGTGTTCGCTACTGCTGACAGGGTTGCCTTGGCAGACGTGAAGTCCGAACTGCTGAAGAGACACACTTGCACTGACCTTGGTGAGCTGCGCCACTACCTTGGCTTGCAGATCACCAGGGACAGAGCTGCTCGCACCATCACACTCTCTCAGTCACACATGGTGCAGCAGATCCTTCAGCGGTTCGAGCTTCAGCACTCCACAGTACAGCGCACACCTCTTGCTGTTGACCACAGACTTCTTGTCCTTTTCCTGACGAGCCGTTCGAGCCTAGTGGTCCCTACGCAGAGCTGGTGGGTTGCCTCATGTACCTGATGACTTGTACTCGCCCGGACCTCGCCTTCCCTCTCAGCATCCTTGCGCGCTTTGTTGCGCCAGGGAGACACCGTCCTGTTCACTGGACGGCAGCTGTGAGGGTGGCGAAGTACCTAGCGACGACATCAGGCGTGGGGCTAGTTCTTGGAGGGCAGCAGTCTGTCGCACTTACTGGTCACTGTGACTCTTCTTATGCTGACGACGCTGAGACTCACAGGTCTACTCAGGGTTACTGTTTCAGTCTGGGTTCTGGAGCTGTTTCTTGGAGGTCCACGCGCTCCTCCTCGGTCTCGACCTCCACCGCTGAGGCTGAGATCTACGCTGGTGCCATGGCGGCACAGGAGCTGCGTTGGTTGACCTTCTTGCTCACTGACCTTGGTGAGAGGCCGAGCTCTGCACCGACCTTGTTCTCTGACAACAAGGCATCGATTCTCCTTTGTCGTGAGCCACGACTGGAGAGCAGAGTGAAGCACATCAATGTCAGGTACTTTCTTCTGCGAGAGTTACAGGGGCGTGGACAGGCTCGTTTCGAGTTTGTGGAGTCCGAGGCCAACACTGCAGACATCTTCACCAAGGCACTTCCGCCTTGTGACCACCAGAGGTGTTGTGTGCAGTTAGGCCTTGTTGACACTGGTTCTCGTCTTGTGTAGACTTGAGTTGACTGTTTGTTTTGCTTGTACACTTGCTGTGTATCTTTGTGAGTTCTTGGACTGGCCTTGTGGCCCCTGGTGTTTGTGCTCAGAGTGTGTGGTGACATTGTGATCCACCCTGAGCTTTGTTTCTTTTGGACTGGTCTTATGACCGTACTCTGTAGGTCTTTGTTCGACACCCCTCACTTAGGCTATGGGGGTGTGTCAAATGTGTAGCCTGTAGTGAGGCTTGTCTTAGGGGGTACATCTGTTAGGGTTTCTATATGTACCCCAACCACATCAATGAAACATAACATTCTCTCATTCTAACACCTATGCCAACCATGGAGTTATGACCTGTGGACACCTGACTACCCTGACTAACAAGGCTAGACTGAATACCCGCTGTGTAGGTACAATTTGTATGTCCACTTGTTAAAGCAAGGGTGCACATTCATGGGGGTGGTTTTTCGGTGTGTTGTCATGTTCACCCTTTAATGCCCAGTGATTCGCGAGCGAATATTGGTTCGATCTGTATACCTAGTGCGAGTTGACGACACCACACTAGCGAGGCGAATCAAATTCGCCTAGGGTTTTGGGGAACGCACAGAAAGGGATTGGGCGGAACTCAAGCCCTCAGTGCTCACAAAAAGCGGGGATGTCTCATCAGTTCGCGAACGTTTAGAGCAGCAAATTTTGGGCAAGCACATACCTCCATTGGCAGGACTGAGAAAACAGAGATCACGCCACTACAACGTAGTGATTGGCAGGGATCCAACAGCCGCAAACATGGTCGCGTAACAAAGGTCGCATTTCGTGTAGATCGCGGCGACGCTAGTCGGAACGGCGAGTAGTGATCACGTCGTTCGAGTTTAGGCCGTGGCGAAGCATAAACGGCTTGATCCCCACCCCGCCTAGTTTAGAGCACCGCTTCCTCCCGCCTCTCCGCCAAAGACCCTCCGCGATGCATCACTCCCGCGCCCTGCGGGATGCAGTGCCGCCTAACACCCTCTTTGCCGCCATCGTGCTGCAACGCCTTCCGTAGAGGCACATCGCGTCGTGTGCAACAAAAAATCTGTTGCACTTCCACGTCGCGACAAAGTGGTAGGAGGTGCCTGATTGCGACGGTTACCATGGTGCAAGGCGTCGCGGCCTCGTCCTCCACATCGACGCCTCGCCCCCGCATCGCCCCCTCGTCCACACAACGCAAGCTAGCCGCGTCGCTTTCTCGTCATCGTGGCGTCGTGTCATCGGCGCCACATCGCCACTTCCCCGCCACGTCAACAGGTCGCCGCCTGCCGCATAGAAGCCTCATCGCCCTGTGTGCACTCATGTCCCCACCTTCTTCCCGTCTCATATCAGTGCCTTCCCTCTCTTATCCCTTCCCCTGCTCTCTCATCCCCTCCTCCCCTCTCTCATCCCTCCATCTCCTCTCTCGTCTCGTCCTCCTCTCTCTCATCCCTCCCTCTACTCTCATCCCCTCCTCCCCTCTCTCATCCCGTCCTCCCCTCTCTCATCCCGTCCTCCCCTCTCTCATCCCGTCCTCCCCTCTCTCATCCCGTCCTCCCCTCTCTCATCCCGTCCTCCCCTCTCTCATCCCGTCCTCCTCTCTCCCCTCCCGTCCTCCCCTCTCTCCTCCCGTCCTCCCCTCTCTCATCCCGTCCTCCCCTCTCTCATCCCGTCCTCCCCTCTCTCATCCCGTCCTCCCCTCTCTCCTCCCGTCCTCCCCTCTCTCCTCCCGTCCTCCCGTCCTCCCCAGACTTGCGCGAGCATCCAGCAGCGGGGGCGCGCGGGGGGAGGGCTTAGGGTAAGTGGGGCGGAAGGGGAGGAAGAGGTGAGCTGAGATGAGGAAGGGGAGGATGTGGTGGAATTCGGACCCTTCCCAGCCCTTACCCCCTCCACCAGGCGCGTCCCGTCCCCTCTTCCTCTTTCCATTCCCAACCCTTCCCTTCCATCATGCATTTTTATGTTCCTCACTTCAGCCCATCGTCCCTTTAGCTGATCCCCCCTCTCTCAACTCGTCCTCCCCTCTCTCCACCCTTCCACACCTCACTCATCCCGTCCTCTCCTCTCTCGTCCCGTCCTCCTCTCTCACATTCTTTCCTGTCCCCTCTCACGGTCCCTTTCTCCCCTCTCTCATCCCTTCCTCTCCTCTCTCCTCCCTTTCTTCCCTCTCTCATCCCATGAGAGAACTCTCTCAACCCGTCCCCCCTCTCTCGTCTCGTCTCGTGAGGCACCTCTGCGAACGGAGGGGAAGCTTGGGAAAACGAGTGCACAGCACAGCTGGGGGGGGAGGGAGTGTATGAATGCAAGAGAGTGATCGCATGTTTCTATTCCTCTACACCTCTGCCATTTGCTCCGCACTCTCCACCATTCCTGCCTCCGCCAAACCCATCATCACCCACTCAACGCAGCCCCACTCCACTCCACCCACACCCTCTTCTCCCCCGTTCCCCTCCTTCCTTTCCCGTTGTTTTCTCCTCCCCTCCCTCCTCCCCCAGTACTCCCATGCCCCCAACATCGACCCAATGTTCATCCGCCCCATGCCAATCCTCCACCCCACCATGGCGCTCATGCAGGCGCTGCTGCACGTCCCCTTCCCCCTTCCCCTTGGCCGCGGAGGATGGGGAGATGGAGGGGGAAGGCGTGGGGAGGTAACGAGGGTGGCCGGGGGGCGAGGGAGGGGCAGGGATGGGGCTGCTTCTCCTGCACTCATCCCTGTGGGGTCGCAAAGGAGCTGTGCGTGCAGACCATGCGCATGCAACACGTCTTTGGGCGCGAGGCGCATCACGTGCACCAGCAGATGGGATGTATGGATGCTGTCTATGCTGGTGGAGCGGGCGTTCCTGCCCCGGTCCCGGCTGTCACATAGTCCAGACCCACGCCCATACAGATTTCAGATCTCTGTGAACTAATCCTGATGAAGTTGGTGCACCGCCTTTCGGTAACTTTTATTCCACTTTTAGTGCCTAAATTACTTGAGGGACAACTTTATGGCGACCATGTTGGCGTTGGGTGAGATGAGAGATTACAAACTCCACCCGCAATTTAGGCCCGTCACAAGTGTGTACAAAACGTGCCATATTCCTGTCAATAGCCACTTTCTGATACACGGGATTTGGGGGGTACATCGACATACCATTGCATAAACGGCCACAAACAGCCTCTTGCTTGTTCTGATCTGACCTGGATGTTATCCCTACATAAATGCACCACTTTACCACAACGCACCGCGTTTCAAGTGTTTGCAGCCTTGTCCGTCATAACACAAACTCAACGTCTGACTAGTGGTTGCAACCGTATCTGGACCCTGCTGCGCAACCCATGACAGTCAGCGACACCACCCATGGTCGCCAGGCTGATCTGACGCACAAGATCACCGATGAGCGCAAGCGGGTGCTAAGGACAGATGGAGGACGGTGTTGGATGATGACAAATGACAGATGGGGCGATGCAGAGAAGTGAGCAAGCTGTAACTAGGGCGCAAAGCGTGTGGGTGAGCAAACTGGAGATAGGGTGCAAGGCGAGTGCGTGAGCAAAGAGAGAACGTGAGCAAAGGGCAGAGGGAGCAAGGGGTGTGAGTGAGCAAACGACAGAAGGCAATGTGCACCAATAGTGCGCGCCTCCCCCAGCATCACCTCTCTCAGTCGCCGCTCGCTCTGCTGGCCCGCCCATCTTTGCACCTCCCTCTGGCGACCCTCCATCTGCCTTCCCTCACCACCCACACCCCTCCATCTGCCCCCCTTCCCTCTATTTGCATCCAGCCCTCACACTGGCAGGAGAGAGTTGTAGACTGGTTCGAAAGGGTGGGGAAGGGAGCAAGCACGCCGGGTTGGAACTGGAACATGTGGTGCGCCAGAACATGCAGTGCAAAATGACAAAGCATTGGGCACGGACAGTGTGCGGCAGTAGGGAGACTTCATTGCAGCCTCAGGGGGACAGGCTAATACAGGGAGAGGGTGCAGGACCGGGCAGAGAGGGGCCATATAATTAGACAGCCACATGGACATTTAATTGTTAAGTGTGGGAATAGGACTTGACACGGATGTATGGTAGAGAGGGGAAAGGTGGAACAAGGGGCGTATGGCAGATTGGCGCATGGGGGACAAAATGTGTAAGGCAGAAAGGGGTAAGGGTGAAAAAGAGAGTAAGGCAGAGAGGGGAGAGGGGGAAGAAGGGTGTAGGGAAGGGAGGGAAAAGGGAGAAGCAGAGACTAAGGCAGCGTGGCGTTAGGGGGATGAAGGGTGTAAGGAGGAGAGAGAACGGGGGGAAGCGGGGCATAAGGCAGAGAGGGGAAAGGCGGAAGATGGGTTTAAGGCAGAGAGGGGAAGGGGAGAAGAAGGGTGAGAGGCAGAGAGGGAAAGGGGATAAGAAGGGTGAGAGGCAGAGAGGGAAAGGGGATACGAAGGGTGAGAGGCAGAGAGGGAAAGGGGATAAGAAGGGTGAGAGGCAGAGAGGGAAAGGGGATACGAAGGTTGAGAGGCAGAGAGGGAAAGGGGATAAGAAGGGTGAGAGGCAGAGAGGGAAAGGGGATAAGAAGGGTGAGAGGCAGAGAGGGAAAGGGGATAAGAAGGGTGAGAGGCAGAGAGGGAAAGGGGATAAGAAGGGTGAGAGGCAGAGAGGGAAAGGGGATAAGAAGGGTGAGAGGCAGAGAGGGAAAGGGGATAAGAAGGGTGAGAGGCAGAGAGGGAAAGGGGATAAGAAGGGTGAGAGGCAGAGAGGGAAAGGGGATAAGAAGGGTGAGAGGCAGAGAGGGAAAGGGGATACGAAGGGTGAGAGGCAGAGAGGGAAAGGGGAGAAGAAGGGTGAGAGGCAGAGAGGGAAAGGGGATAAGAAGGGTGAGAGGCAGAGAGGGAAAGGGGATAAGAAGGGTGAGAGGCAGAGAGGGAAAGGGGATACGAAGGGTGAGAGGCAGAGAGGGAAAGGGGATAAGAAGGGTGAGAGGCAGAGAGGGAAAGGGGATAAGAAGGGTGAGAGGCAGAGAGGGAAAGGGGATACGAAGGGTGAGAGGCAGAGAGGGAAAGGGGATAAGAAGGGTGAGATGCAGAGATGGAAAGGGGATAAGAAGGGTGAGAGGCAGAGAGGGAAAGGGGATACGAAGGGTGAGAGGCAGAGAGGGAAAGGGGATAAGAAGGGTGAGAGGCAGAGAGGGAAAGGGGATAAGAAGGGTGAGAGGCAGAGAGGGAAAGGGGATAAGAAGGGTGAGAGGCAGAGAGGGAAAGGGGATACGAAGGGTGAGAGGCAGAGAGGGAAAGGGGATAAGAAGGGTGAGAGGCAGAGAGGGAAAGGGGATAAGAAGGGTGAGAGGCAGAGAGGGAAAGGGGATAAGAAGGGTGAGAGGCAGAGAGGGAAAGGGGATACGAAGGGTGAGAGGCAGAGAGGGAAAGCGGTAAGAAAGGTGTAAGGCGGAGGGGAGAGAGGGGGAGGATGGGTGTAGTGAAGAGAGTGACGAGGGGGAAGCAGGGCGTAAGGCAGAGAGGGGAAAGGCGGAAGAGGGGTGTAAAGCATAGAGGGGAAGGGGAGAATAAGGGTGAATGGCATGGAGAAAAAGGGTGATGTAGGAGGTAACGGAGATAGTGGAAAGGTAGAAGAAGGGGAGTATGGCAGAGTGGCGTAAGGGGGATAAAAGATGCAAGGCATAGAGGCGAAAGGCGGAAGAAGGGCGTAACGCAGAGAGAGAAAGGGGAGAAGTGGGGTGAATGGCAGAGAGAATGAATGGGAGGGTGTAAGGCAGCGAGGGGAAAGGGGGAAGACGGGTGAATGCGAGAGAGGGAAAGGAAGCGAAAAATGGTAAGGCAAGGAGGGGATAGGGGGAAGAAGGGTATAGGGAGGAGAGGGGAAAGGGGAAAGCAGGGCGTAAGGCAGAGAAGGCATGGTGGGGGAAGACGGGGGAAAGGAAGCTAGCGGAGAGGGGGAAAGAAGAAGAAGAAGCGAAAGAAGAAGACAAGGGAAGAAGAAGGGTGAAGAAGCAGGCAGAGAAGGCATGGTGGGGGAAGAAGGGTGTTTGGAAGACAAGGGGGAGGGGGACGCATGGTTTAGGGAAGAGAGGGGAAAGGGGGAAGCAGGGCGTAAGGCCAAAAAGAGAGAGGGGGAAACAGGGTGCAGGGAAGAGAGGGAAAAGGGGTTTAGCAGGACGTTAGGGAGAGCTCGCTTGGTGGGGGAAGAAGGGTGTAAGGTAGAGAGGGGAAAGGGGGAAGAATGGTGTAGGGAAGTGAGGGGAAAAGGGGGAAGAAGGGGGTAAGGCAGAGAGGAAAGAGGGAGAAGAAGGGTGGAAGGCGGAGAGGGGGGAACGGGGTGTAGGGCCGAGAAAAGGGATAAAGGGGACATACGGTGCATTTTCTGGTGGCCAAAGGTTGCGTTCAGAGCTGAAGGGAGATGCGTACAGAGGGCGCAGCATGGGGGCGGAGTCAAGGAGAGTCAGGGGTATAGCAGACTCTACAAAAAATCGGGGGCAAAAACAATGAATGCACATACCTCATTCTAAGTCTAAAGTACCTCATGGGAACATACATCATAGTTTACTATGAGCATTGCGAAGGACTCGAAATAGATTGGAGGCAGTTTCCTTGTACAGTCTTTCGGTGCATTTATTAGGGTTTCCATCATCTATGAATGATGATTCCGCATACGCGATACAAACGGCCCCTGAACAGTGTAGGTTGTGGATCGACGATTACACTTTCTGTATGAATACGCTTATGAGTTATGTTCGAGTCGCCAATTTAATAAGGGGCGTGACACTAGCAGAAGTGACACGACATATTCTGTGAGATAGTGTTTAAAACGCTCAAACTTTAAAACCCATGCGCGTATGCCAGATTCACGCTAAAAATAACAAATTTAAAACACCAGCAAAAAACCTACATTCCTGCTATTACGGCACAATGCTATTACTGTGGGAGCTTGTAAAATTACTACCATATCGAATCTCACTGTTTGCTAGATTATGGTGTGATCATGAAAATGCACACAAAATTCACTAAAATTATACCAGCCCACAAACAAAAGCAGAAAGCAAAAACACAAACAAACGATCCTAGCGAGAAATCGAAACGCGTCCATCTGACGTGTTAGCGCGTACGCATTCAAGCATCACGTCAGTCCCACACGGACCAGCTCCACAGGGCTTGGGCGCGCCTTGCGCTGTCGCACTCGCTCACTTTGCGAATCACTCAGCGGGGGGTCACAGCTGGAATTGGCGGGGCGACAGCTCCTCCATCCCATCCTCAGAGAAAACCAGAACGCTCTCGCGGCGAAAGCTCCAGCCCCTGCGATCAGCATCCCACCACGGGCCTCCCTGTGCCGTGCACCTCAAAATGGCGTTGCGCATCCAGAGCTTAACTCGCTCGTGGTACCAATGCACGCCTTCCTCGTTGCGTGGCGCGCTGTGAGTAAGCGAGCTCCCAGTCGCAATGGGCATCTCAACTTGGGAAAGAAACACAGATACTTCAGCATATACCCCAAATAATCCGCTCCGACTTCAACAAGCACAAGTGCAATATCTACTCACCCCGAAGAGCCACCATGCCAGCACATAGGTGCGCAGGACAAGTGGCAGGGGGATGGGCCGTCGAAATGAGGCAAAGAGGGCCCTCTCAAAAATCTCCGTCGCGAATGGAAGGTCGTCGGCGTTGCGATGCCAGGGCATGAGCTCGAATGACACCGGCCCTGCAGCGAGCGACGCATAAAACGATGTGTGCAGAGAGTTACAACACGAGTTTACCAGAATAGTGGTTACAACGGCTTTAGCAAGTTTGCGTGCCTCACCTGCTGCATAGGTGTTGGTGAACTCCTTCCTGGATATGCGAGGCACGGCTTGCGTGCTCGGACGGACTGGGATGCGGACGCGCGGGTTGGCTCTCGGGTTGTAGGGAAGTCCGTGAAGTATGTAGACCATGGCCAGCCCCTGCTCCCATTTGTTGTTGCGCCAAACCTGCATCTGACGCGTGAACCATCCGGTGCGGGCCTCATCAATGCTCCACACCATGTGTAGGCTGGCGAAATGCTCCTGCTTGACTAGATTCAGAGCGCGCGCCACGCAACTCTCCGCCAGGTTCGGAGGGGCCCAGAAATTCATCAGGCGCACCGCCGTGTCGTAAGCCAGAAGGGCGATCGCGTCCTCCACGACGCCCTGCACAGCGGAAACCACGCATCGCGTGACATATGAACGAATAGAAGCGTGGCACTCGGGCAGATAGGTTAAGAAGCGCTATCCACCACACACTCTCACCTTGAAGCCGTCATTGAGATTAGGGATGAGCTTGTTTGCTCCTTCCGTCCTGTTTGCCCAGTCGTCCATCCCCTCTGTCACGAAGCCGTCAGTGTTCGCCTGACGCAGCTCGCGCTCAAGCGCCGCTTCAACCATCGGCGACCAGACATGTTCGCCTTGTGCGGGCTGCGCGCCAGCCCGAGTCCTCTGACGGATTGGCGCTGGAGCTTCCAGGGGTCCGTCCCTCGGACGCACACGCCTCGAGGTGAGCCGAGCCACGGCGGGCGAGCGCCTGTCTCCGTTTCGCCCCTCCAGACGCTCGATGGTCGGACTGAGCTCCAGGATGCGGCGCTCCTGCTGCGACGCCCGAGCTGCCATCGCTGCGTTCACCGGACCTTGGGCAGCGGTACGCGCCTGGGTAGCAGCCGTGGCTGGTGCGCGTGCGACGGATGGTCCACGGCCTCCTGCGTATGAGGCGGCCACCACTTCTGAGATGGCGCGCTGGCTACGCAGCGCCGCTGCACATTAAAACAGGTACAATCTTCACGGTCAGGCAAGTGAGGCATAACAAACAGTTTATGCCAGCATACAGTATGCATTGCAAAACATAAAATGCACAATAAGCGTCACCTTCGGCCTCTTCGTCTACAGGTTCATCTTCCCCCGCGGCATCATCGCCGTCTTCGTCGTCCGCGTCTTCAATGTCCACGCGGTCTGCCCACGGATGGTACTCAGTCTCGGAATCCTCACGATCTTGCTGCTGCGAGTCGTCGCGGGGCGAGGGCACCCTACCAGCGCGACCAGACGTGCGAGGAGAACGGCAACCATGTCCGTAGTACACCATGTCTTCGTCGTCACTGCGAACACCGGCGTTACTGCGTGCGGAGCGCCGCCTATAGGCGGCTAGAGGCGAAGCTGCAGGCTCCATGGCACAAGGAAGGGTTTCGAAAAGGTGCGTGAAACTACGATACCTTTGTAATGGCTGAATCCGGAATAAGTACCACGACGACAATGGTGCTTGTGTCTCTATACGTCCGTGTCCTGTGCACACCGAAAATCCGTCCCAACGATGACGTGTGCAACTGTAGCATCGGCGCATACGTTGCCGCAGCGTGCGACCCGTGTGTGACGCGTCATTAGGCAGGATATTTCCGTAGATAGTGCTCTATCATTCGTGGGATATTGCCCCTTATCGCCAGCTATCCAAAAAACGCTGATAATCCCATCGCGCATAACATGTGTCGCCTAGTCAGGCCAGCTACTGCTGACGCTTATTTTACCCCCTCCAACACGGGATACCTATTCGCACGCGTGGCCACATGGGATTGGCGTTCTATCCGCCGGGTACCTTCGCCACTTGAGCGCCGCCTGTGCGGTTTTGCCGATTATTGGCGGGCATGGAACATGTGTCAGAATGTATGGGCGGCGCGATGTTATGTGTTGATATCCACTGTGCAGGGGCCTGAAGTGTGTCCTTACCTAACAATTTTGTGATTTTGCACCTACGCACCGTACCAAAAAGTTTCAACAAGCAATGGAATCGCTGGATATAGCAATGAACACACACAAATACTAGCATGCAAACAAGAACCAATTAGTTCCCCACGTGATCCCAAACACACACGCAGCTGATAATCACAAATAGCGCAACTCCAGAAAATCAAAGTCTAAACTCTGGTTGGTCCTCGTCAGGGCGATTCCACTCGTAATTCTGCGGCACCAGGCGGAACAGAGGCGCCGTAGTGAATCCCTTAGGGACCTCCCAAAGGTAGACGCACATGTGCTTGCCCGTCCAAACCGGCCAAATTTCTCTGTCCGGCGAAGCGACCTCCCTCCACGCGAGCATGCCGAGGCTATGAGCGAGGATGCCTGTGCCAATACCATCGACGCCTCCCACGTGTTTGTACTACTCGTAGTTGAACAGCATCGGCTGGTGATCTTGTGGCTAATGAACACCTTGCGAGCGTCCTCTGCTCCCCAAAACTGGTACTTGCCGTGCTCAGTCTGCAAAATGCGTGGGATAAAGGAGCGGCAATATGTATATATATAACGGGCGACACATGCATATATGAACGGAATACGTCCGGAATTCACCACCCAACCCTCGCTCATCGCAAAGTGCATCAAGTAGAGTCGGTAGTCTTGGCCGCTCGGCCGGGCCGCAATCAGGTCATCCAGAGAAGTAGCAGAGTAGTTAATCTTAAGATGACCCCTTTTCACAATCCTCAAAAACCGCTCAGCGTCCTCGTGCAAACTGGCTTGGATGCACGCAATGTCGATAAACGAGGCGTCGGCACACGCTCTGCCATTCCGAGATTCGTTCAGCGCGGCCAGCGCTCGGCGTCGTTGGGTCTTAGCAGAGGCGTGACGGGTGGCGACAAGATGCTCGATCGCCAACACCAATTTTTTGGGAGTTTGCGGTTCACGGAGAGCAGTAAGGCGCAGGTACTCTGCCTGCATCAGCACAGCCACAACCTCGTGGAAATCTCGTACAAGCACCGAGGTTGACGGGGGTCTGGTTTTCGTGCAGCGCGACTTGGGCCACTCCGGTCCACGGTAGCGGGTGGACTGGTGAGCCCTGCCAGACCCATCACGTGCACACCTCCACTGAGCAGGCCGAGAGAGAAGTTGCTGGAGCTGGGGACTTGCCTTCACCATTTCTGGCAGTACGTGTGAATTTCCAAACCAAATGTCAGAAATGGCTTGTTTGGGGGCATCAAGGTGTTAGAGACTAAGGACGGAGTCTAGAACATTTAGGGGCCGAAATATCTCAAAATCGTTGGACCTAATCTCTGGACAGAAATGTCGACTTCACAAGAAACGCCGTCGACGAAAAGTTAGCCGTTGAAATTCTCTCAAACTCGAGTATGTTGTAGCCCTTGACCGTGGCTATCATTCCCAATTTGAATCGCATCAAAAGATAGAGTATAACTCGAGTTATGAATTTCGACGCACTAGGGGGTATGCTGCCATAGAGAATGAACTCAATCACAATTGTTCTCACAAGTTTCACAAAGAGAATTGGAGTAGCTAAAAACCAGGTAGGAGGGAAGAGGAGGACGAGAGGGAAGGTCCCAAGGGAGTCCCCAACCAAGGAAACCTCATACCACACAATTCCCCTCTCTATAGGCACCCCAACTTTGACATTTGTCACTTTCCCAACACATGCCATCCACCTCACCCAACTTGGCCACACTTGCCAACCTAGTTTGGCTTCTCCCAACCACTTGGAAACATCTACAGTAATGGGGACGAATTTCCCAACCCCCAAAAGTCTATACCCCATATAGAGTCACTCCACAAATTCCCAAAGTCGCCGCATCACAATCAAAACTTCGAACGATAATAACTTTCTCGTTCTTGCTCCGATCGCGGCGATTCTTGGTTCGTCGGAAAGCTCTTGAGCAGAGAAGTCACTTCAGATATCTGCTCAAGCCAAATAACATTCACACATACTCAGAAAATCCAAACCACACCAAACACAAATTCTTGCACACGCGCATACCACACATGCAACGCACGAACATATGATGGGAGGCAGACAGATGTGAATGCGAATGATAGCATCACATAACAAACTCCCCCTCTGGCTGCCAACCATCATCCCACATGTCATAGCTCAAGCATGCATCCTCAATGCACACTCATTCCTGCAAGTTTCATCCCCTTCCAATGATCCTCCAATGGACAATCATTTCCTTCTAACACCCCACTTCCAACATCTCCTCTCTGCTCAAATGTGCAGCACCCTTCTGCACCATCTCCTCTCATAGCACTATCCTCCAAGCCTTCTCAATGGTGCCCCATAGCAGTAGGCTATTGCATCCCCATCCATCTGCTCAGCCACACTTCCAGCCGGTACCACTTTTGGTATGCCAAAACTCGGATAGGTCAGCCGGTTAGGAGGGCGCACATCCCTCCTAGGACGGTCAGCCGTACGTGCGGCACCTTGTGGAGCCCCTTGCTGCTGCTGCTGCGGCTGCTGCTGCTGCTGCTCCTCCACCTCAGGTTCTCCCCCATCCTTAGTCACCCCAGAGATCTCCTCCTCTGAGACAGTGACCTGCACTTGTCTCGAAGGCCGCTGCACCTCATCGGCCTCAATGATCAGCGGTGTAGTAGGAAGCTTCTGCTGCTGCTGCTTCCACTCCTTGTAGTACAGAGACTCGAGGAATTTCACATCCCTCGACACAGTCAGCTGCTGGCTGGTCAAATCCCATATCAACCAGCCCTTGTGATCCTTGGCAAGTCCCAAGTGCACACCCCATCTCCCAGAAGCTTCCAGCTTTCCCCTCTTCTCCTTCGGCACATGAAACACCACCATGCACCCGTAAGCTCTCAGCATGTTCACCGCTGGTGCACTCCCATACCACTTGGTGTAGGGGACCCACTGCTTGTCCCCTACAATCGCCAGCACCCTGTTCTTCACAAGGGCGACCTGCCTCAGTGCAGTCACCCAAAACGGATCCGGCAGCCCCGCACGCCCAAGGAGAGTGCGAGCACCTTCCTGCAGGGTCCGGTTGAACCGCTCAGCCACGCCGTTCTGCTGAGGGTTGTAGGGCACTGTGAGCTGATGCTGGATCCCTTTCTTCTTCAGCACCGCCTCAAAATCAGCTCCAATGAACTCTCCCCCATTGTCGGTGCGGATCACCTTCACCTTGTGTCCGCTCTCCCTTTGAGCTCTCGGCATCCACTCCTTAAGAACAGCCGCTGCCACCTCCCCCTTAGTCTTGAGAGGGTACACCCACATCGTACGCGTGTGGTCGTCCACAATGGTCAAGAAGTAGCGGCTGCCCGAGAGAGAAAGGGCCCTTGTGGGGCCCACCACATCCATGTGCACAAGCGCGAGTGGTGCCTTGGCTGGTCCCGTGCTGCTGCTGAAGGGAAACTTGGTGAACTTGGTCTCAAGACATGTAGGGCAGCTCCCAATCTCCTTTGATGCCCCCTTCACCTCCAGCCCCTTCAAGCTCCCATCCTTCACTAACTTCTGCAACATAGGGATGTTGATGTGACACAGCCTCTCATGCCACGTCTCCCAATCGGCCTCACCACTCCCAGATGAAGCCTTTGCCCATGCAGCTGTTGCATCCACACCAGCAAGCACCTCACCATGTGGTTGCTGTGGCTGCTGCACCTTCTTGACTGCATCCAGGGCCCCAGCAGTTGGTGCAGTCTCCTCTCCTCCTGCAGTTGCTTTAGCCGCTGCTGCTGCCGTTGCCGTTGCTGGTGGTTTCCCATTCCAAGGGATGATGGGCAGCTGCCATAAGTCCTTGATGCAGCTGCTCTTCTCCTCCAAATCCCACAGCAGCAACTTCCCAAGCTTTGCACGGCAGCTGGTTGGGCCGAATGTTACTTTGGCCTTGCTTTTCTGCAGCCGGCGCACAGAAAGAAGGTTAGCGGACAAACCTTCAACCAACAGGACATTCCCAAGCCCCACAAGCTCCCCATTGGCTCCCATTACCTTAGCATTCCCAACACCAATCACAGGGAGCAAAGCACCTGAAGCGGCAGCCACAAACTTGATCTTACTAGGGGGCTTTACCTCATCAAGCAAATCTGCCCGTGGGGTCATGTGACTTGTGCAACCTGAATCAATCACCCAGTGAGTGAGGGGGTGCATCACAACCTTCCCAACCGAACCCACATCACCCTCACTCCCTTTCACATCCTCAACCATCAAGAACATCCCAGGGGAGGCTTTACCTTGTGCACCTTCACCTTGTGCACCTGAACCTTGCACAGCGCCACCTCGCGCGCGTTCACCACTTGGCGGCTTCATGCCTGGAGGCGCCCATCCCTCAGGCCGGCTGAAACACTTGAACCATGGGTGTCCAGCCTTCTTGCAGTACCAACATGCACCCTCCATTCGGGTGCTCCCCCTGCCACCAGAGCTCCCATGCCCCTCATTGAAGTCTCCTTGGCCTCTTCCTCTGCCAAAGCCTCTCCCACGGCCTCGGCCTCTCCCACCCCCTCTTCCTCTGCTGCCTCCTGCAGCTCCATACCCCTCAGCAGTTTTGTTGGCAGCACCACCTCCTGTGTGGCGCCTGCGAAAGTCCTCCTGCAGGATCTGCTGCCGCAGCCACTCAGGCGTCCACTTGTCCTGCTGAACGTTGAGGGTGGGGATGAGGTTCTCCCACGAGTTGTCGAGCACCGAGATGATCTTGGTGCACTGCTGCATCTCCGACACCTTGCTGCCCGCCGCTGCCATCCTCGCATAGGTGTCCTTGATCTTGTCAAGGACCGGTTTCACATCGTCTCCCGGTCGCATGGAGAGGGCAGCCAGCTCCTTCTCCAACACAATCACCATCGGCAGCGTGTTGGGCTGAACCACGTCGCGTAAAAGCTTCCACGCCTTAGGACCGGAGTCGTCCAACTCGACCAAGTCCTTGATGTGCTGGAACATGTCGTTGTTGACCGATTGCAAGATGAGGTCGAACAACACCGCGCTCCGCTCAATCCACCGATCCCGAGCATCTCCTTCCTCGGGCATTTTCTCTTCTCCCATCGCAAGTTTCAGCAGCTTGTAGCGCTTGAAGACGCTCCTCATCCGCCCACTCCATTCCTCGTAGTTGGAGCCATCCAACGCCTCAATCTTGGATGGTGGCGGCTCACTCCTCTTTTCAGCTGCATCTCCACTCCCTTGACTCATCTCCTCTGCTCCCAATCAGAGGTTTCAGCTCCCCCTTTTGCTGTCCACACCGAAGTCCCACAATATTTTCACAAGTGTCGGCGCCAACGAAATTTCGGCAGAGTTTCCCCTTAGCGGAAGTCACATGCAACCTCTAGAACACCACTTAGGCACGCCCACAGGCCATGGTGGGTCTAGGAGGGTCTTCACACCTCAGTAGACTCTTCACAACGTCCTCAATCAGCTCTGATACCACTTGTTAGAGACTAAGGACGGAGTCTAGAACATTTAGGGGCCGAAATATCTCAAAATCGTTGGACCTAATCTCTGGACAGAAATGTCGACTTCACAAGAAACGCCGTCGACGAAAAGTTAACCGTTGGAATTCTCTCAAACTCGAGTATGTTGTAGCCCTTGACCGTGGCTATCATTCCCAATTTGAATCGCATCAAAAGATAGAGTATAACTCGAGTTATGAATTTCGACGCACTAGGGGGTATGCTGCCATAGAGAATGAACTCAATCACAATTGTTCTCACAAGTTTCACAAAGAGAATTGGAGTAGCTAAAAACCAGGTAGGAGGGAAGAGGAGGACGAGAGGGAAGGTCCCAAGGGAGTCCCCAACCAAGGAAACCTCATACCACACAATTCCCCTCTCTATAGGCACCCCAACTTTGACATTTGTCACTTTCCCAACACATGCCATCCACCTCACCCAACTTGGCCACACTTGCCAACCTGGTTTGGCTCCTCCCAACCACTTGGAAACATCTACAGTAATGGGGACGAATTTCCCAACCCCCAAAAGTCTATACCCCATATAGAGTCACTCCACAAATTCCCAAAGTCGCCGCATCACAATCAAAACTTCGAACGATAATAACTTTCTCGTTCTTGCTCCGATCGCGGCGATTCTTGGTTCGTCGGAAAGCTCTTGAGCAGAGAAGTCACTTCAGATATCTGCTCAAGCCAAATAACATTCACACATACTCAGAAAATCCAAACCACACCAAACACAAATTCTTGCACACGCGCATACCACACATGCAACGCACGAACATATGATGGGAGGCAGACAGACGTGAATGCGAATGATAGCATCACATAACACAAGGTGGCCTTTTGCATGGTTCCCGACACGGTCTAATTAGGGTTACAGCATTCACAGCTGGTCGCCAGTAATGACGTTTTTTCGCATTGTAACGCGGGACACGTCGGGGATTCGTTTCGGCGTGTTACCCTGGTTCGCGGCACCAGGTGTGCGATGTGATGTGGCGAGTTACAGGTCCATCGAACATGAGCTGCCACACTCGCCAAAGCAGATATTCGTAGCCTCATGATCTCGCGACACAAGCGAACGGTGAAGATCTGGTTGGGTGGGTTTGTTAACTAGTACAGCATCACAGCAACCGTTCAAAAACAGGGTGACGAACAGTCTTGGTAACAATGAACTATAAAATATCGTGAATGGTAGATTTTTTTTTCTCAAAGGCGGTGACTGAACTCTGACAGTGCAATTCGTCAGAATGAGTTGGTCCCCTCCATTGTGCCCAATGAGAGCAAGATCCGATCCAGAACACGTCTGCAGAGGCATTAGCTGGTCTGGCGCGCCTGGCTTCTACGTTAGATAGACTATCTTATGACTAGGAGATTTTTAGTAGGGCATTACCTGGTCGCCGCCACCGCCGTTATCATACGTGTGGTAGACTATCCTATGACTCTGTTTTTTTTTTTCCAGGCTAGCGCTCGCGTGGCGCGCTTGAATCATGCGTATGAGTGACATTGCTCACGTGTGGGTGATTTTTATTACCCTCGTCAGCGTCGAACGCGGCTCGTAGACATTCTCGCTGAACTGCACCGCCATTGCACGCACGTAGATCTTGTTATACTATTTATTACGACGTGCTCAACATGGAATGCACACACAGTCTTTTCGCCCCGCTCTCTGTCTGTGGCGCATTTGTCTTAGGGCTTGAGCGGACTCTGCTACCCTGCTCTCGGCTATGTCGAGCCTGTTGGCACTCTACGCCTGCGAATGGTGCCTGGGCACCTTCTCGTCTAGGTCGGCACTTTTCATGCACAAGACCCGCAGTCGCATGTGCTGGCGCCTACGCTCAAGATTCAGGTGGCGCTGCTGGAGGGCAAGGGCAGCAGCCAACGCGGATAGCGATGACGACCCGTCGGACTCGGACGATAACGATGATGCCCCTGAGCAGGGCAACACTGTCACGGTTGGCACAGAGAACGCAACAGCGAACGAGGTATGGCCGGTTCTTTACACCTTGTTCCATGCATGTATGCAACTGGTCAGGCTGCGACCCGTGCATCTCTTTTTGCGTTACAATAACATTATGGTAACACTCGTCCTTACTATGCACAGGAACCCGCACTCCAAGGGGCTGGAGATGCAGAGGCAGAGCTTTACGACTCGGACAGCTCAGGGGAAGAGGAAGCGGCTGTTGATGATGCAGACAACGTCCCAGAGGCTGTCTTCCGCGAGACGGAGCGTTTTGACACGCTCATGGAGGTCTTCAGGTTCATTGTCGGTTGCAACCTGAACCTGGCGCTGGTGCGGCACTGGCGCACGCTCAATGCCGTGATGCAGTACGGCATGTCACTTCTCGTGGAGCGTCGTGAGTACGTTACTCACACAGTGACGATCCCGGGCTGCCCCACTCCGTTTGAGGTCACTGCTGCTAGTGGAAAGGAGGTAAGTGTCGAATCATGAACAGTGATGACCCCGCGGTACTCTTCTGACTCTGGCTGGAATGTTGGACTCTGGCCTGACTCTGGTCCAAATGTCTACCCCTTGTCTGACATGCGCGCGCTCTTGATTTTGATGGGCAGGCTGTCCTGGAACTTCTCAGGAACCCAGCAAACGCGCCTGGGTTCATTCTCTTTCCTCCACGAGGAGTCATCAGGGGCGGGTCGGGTCTACACGACTCCAGACACGGCCACGTTCTGGGAGGAAGCTCACAAGGCGGCTGCTGAGACTTTCGGCGAGGGCACCGTCGTCATGCCACTCATCATCTCGAGCGACGCCACCCTCCTCAGTGGCAACGAGCGCACCAAGTGTGGGCCGTATACGTCTCCATCGCCAACATACCACTGCACCGCCTTTGGACCGAGAGCAGCAAGATCTTGCTCGCCATGCTCCCGTTCCCACCTAGCCGCATGAGCGCTGCCGACAAGGTGGCGCTCTTCCAGTCGGCGATGAAGATAGTACTCGCAGACCTGGTGGTCGCGTCGCATACGTGAGTTCTGCCATCACGTTACTTTCTGCCATTTCCACCATCTACATGGTCTATGATGCCATCCTGCCGTCGACAAAGAACTCACATTGACATGGCTTGTTGCTTGCCTGTGGAATATTCCAGGGGGATGGCCGCAACGGACCCAAACGGTGTGCCGCGCTTCATGGTGCCGCTACTCTTCTCCTGCGTCGCGGACTATCCGGAAACGTTCAAAGTTTCTTGCACGCAGCAGCTAGGCTCCGCCATGCCCTGCTCCATCTGCTACGTGGGCCGTACGGAGCTGCGGGACATGGACCGTGAGCCGGCAAGGATGCGCACGGTCGAACAGCAGGAGTCACTCCTGGGTGACCCCTTCGAGGCCAGGCGCCGCGCCACGCTCTGCATCCCGGTGGGTAAAGTGGTAATAGCAGGTATGAGTGATGCCCCAAATCCGGTAAACCCTGCAGGCGAGCCGTACAGGCGCATTCTGCCCTCCGTCGTTTCAGTTGTCAGGCCTACCAGGCTGTTGTTCGTGGATAGAGCTTCGTTTGTGCTTCATCTGCATCACATATCATAGTAGTGTGCCTTCTCTGGAATGCGTGTGCTTAAGGTGTTACTGCTGGTTCTGTGTGCATATTCTGGTTGGGCGTGCCGTTTCTGGTTGGGCTTGCATTCTCTGGTTGGGCGTGCCGTTTCTGGTTGGGTGTGCTTCATTTGATCTTGACCCTTTGTGTTTTCCCTTCCGCGTGCTTCATTCGAAAGTTCCCTAGTGACACACGTCCATTGAGTGTGCTCCAGTTGATGCGCCTGCTGGTGATGTAATCTCAAACGCGTGGTTCAGTTGCTATCGACTAGGTGATTGTGTTCTGTTCGCTACGTTTCCCATCAGGGCATTTCCGTAAGAGATGTTGTGCTTTTTCGTGCGCTGTCTCTGCATCGCCGCATGTGCTGATGTTCGTTGGGTGCCTATCGTGTGTAGGGCTTAGTGTGCATGCGTTTTATTGCGGTTCCGTGTTCTGCAGCGGCATCCACGGTGTTGGGCGGCTCGTGTGCTTATGTTGCATCGCCTGAAGCCATGATTGCAATAGAGTGTGCTGCATTTGATGAGCCCTTCGGTGCCGATCGTGGTTGCCTGTACTTCAAGCATTTAGCCTAATGTGCTGTTGTGTCCTGGTCGTGTGTCGGTTGCTTATCCCATGGTGCTGTTTTTCGTTGAGTGCGCATCATTTGATGAGCCTTATGCTCTTGTGCTCGTTGCAGAGCTTCTTATGGGATTTCAACCTCTTATGTGATTCTTTTGCAGAGCTTCTTATGGGACTTCAAGTTCAGCCGGACCGTGTGGGGGAACACCTACCTCTCGCTCGCGGTAGACATCCTGCACGCAATCTACGTTGGATTTTGGGTGTACATCCGTGATTGCCTCCACGGCGACCCCGACATGGCAGAGTCCAAGGACGGGTACGTGTGGTATGACCAATGTTTTCTGGCTGCCATGTATGGGATCCATCTACGAGCTAACTTGAGCCCATCCTCATCTATTGGCCGTGCAGGCGCATGGTGGCAATGAGCCCCAATGCACGGCTTGTCGGGATCAGAATCCCTGGAACAGGAATGTATTGGGCGAGCGGCGCCAACTTCACGGCTTCCGAGCATGGCGCCGTGATGATGGTGAGCTGGCCCCCCGCACACGATGCCTACTTATCTCTTGCTTTCTCCAACGTTGTGCATTTGCGCTAGTGTCCTTGATCGAGTTAACCCACAACTGACTTTGTCCTCTCCCGTGCATCCTTCTACACCGCCCACAGGTGGTGCCCTTTCTGATCGAGGGGGAAGGCGACCGTGAAACCTGCCTGGCGACTGTGGCTATTCTTGAATGGCATGAGAGCTGCATCCGGGCCCCCTTCCAGACCGACACGTCGCTGTCCGAGCTGGAGGGCCGCACCAAGAGGTACGTAGTTGGTTGCAGGTACTTGTACGCTGGCCTACCATCTAACCACGAAGCCACTATTGACTCCCTGTGTCCGTGCACGATGATTCAAGGCTGCGAGACTGTGTTTCCTCGAGGTGGGCAGGGGTGGAACCTGCTCAAGGTCCACCTGCTGACCCACCTCCCAGCTGCGATTCGGCACAGGGGACTGCCTCAGGAGTTCTCGGCTGCGTTATACAAAAACGCGCACATCCGCACGTGCAAGCTGCCGTACCGTGCCTCCAACCACCGGGCGCCAACGCGTGCCATTGCGCGTCACAACACCCGGGCTGGCATGGTGGCGCAGCTGGGCACGCGCCTGACTGGCGGGAGGCGGGACAACACTGCCCTGGAGAGGGTATGACTGCTATGGATTCTGTGGTTCATGTCTGACGGGCATGGGCTGCCATCCAGAAGGAGACTCACTGTGCTTTATGCCCCACTCCCCCTCTAAGCTCTGAAGTCTGGGGTCCATGTTTGACGGGCATGGGCTGCCTGCCTAAGGTGTCCCACGTTGCTTTCTGCCCCCCCCCCCCCCCCCCCCCTCCCCCCTTCCCCCTTCCCCCCCCCCCCCTTTGCATCCTCTCAATGCAGGCCATCCGCTCGGGCACGCCGCAGCTAACGCGGACGTGCAGATCTCTCACCGGCCGGCCCGCTGACAGTGAGGAGGCGGACTCGGTGTTCGAGCTCTTCAACACCGCGCTTGGGGGGGTCCTTCTCCCCTACTCTGCAGTCATGCACGAGGCTGGACTGGCCCCGTTTCCAGCCAAGGTACGTTTAATCCGCCACTGGCTGATGCGGGTTTACATGTCATTGTGGCCTGGCATGAGATTATTTATTTTTGCCCTTCCCCCACTGGCTGTCGGATTGAACAATGGGAGTTAACACTGATCTGGTGCGAGTTTCCCGTCCCTCCCGTTGTGCCTAACTCCCTTGTACCAGGCACATTCTGTGCTTGCACTGCCCGCCCGGCAGTCTGACGTCGGCACTGTCAGGGCGCACTATGTGCGCGCAGCCGTCTCCATGCATGGCCAGCAGGCCTTCTCCTGCGTGGAGTACGAGACAACCGGAGCGGTGCCAGCTCATGGAAGGCTGCTGCTGCTGCTGTCGGCAGAGAGGGATACGGTGGAGGTGGAGGAGCGCGAGGTGGAGGTGGCGGTGGTCCAGCGGCTGACGGACCAGGGGCTGGACGAGCGGACCGGATGCCGCATCCTGACTGTCCTTGCGGCTAGGGGGGGGGTGGCGGTCATCCCCATCGGATGCATCCGCAGGGCTGTCCACTGCGTGCAGTCCTTTGTCACTCCTGGGCGCTGGTACCTGAACCGTTGGGCGTACAGGTGCAATGAGTGCCTCACGTGATCTGTGTGGGCTTCATGTGGCGCTTGAAGGGATGCATGCTTCCTGCATCGTGCGCCTCAAATTCTGGTTGTGCGTGGCTTATGGATGGGTCTGATTCATCGCAATGGGGTCATGTAACCCCTTAATCTTCAACCCTTTGATCTGCTGTGGGCGCTGCATTTGCAGCCCTTTTGTTCTCGGAAATGTCTTGCATGCTGGTGGGCTGGAATCTCTGTTTGCTTTTGTTTTTAAACTGCTTTTTGTTGGACTCATTGGTGAGGTGTTGTTTCTGTACCAAGCTTAAATTTATGGGTTTTGTTTTGCATTGGTATGTTGTGTAGCTAGGAAGGATGCAGAAACAGCCTATAACGGGCCAAGCCAGTTCGATTGTCAAGTTTCGCAGACTGACGCACATGTACACATCTTCCACCAAACAGCACCGCACTTGCGCATGCTATGCTCAAACCCTGCACCCAGTTGGTGCACACGAGCGCAGTGGATGCGGGCCAATGCCACGATTTCGAGGCCATCTGGCGGGCCCAATTCTTTATTGAGGAGGGGAAGTAAGGCGCAGATTGGTTCGTCGCAATCCCTTTTCCCAACCGCGCCTTAGCAGCAGAATTCCTGTTCTCGCCGCCGCTATGTGTTGCTGCTCGTCCGCCCGTCGCGCGAATTGTTGCTTGCTATCGTCCGCCCTTCGTGCGGGAAAGCAGGGGGGGGGGGGAGGAGGGGAAGTAGTCCAGGAAAGGAGGGGAAGCAGGGAGGAGACGGCGGGGAAGCAGGGGGGAGAGGGAGTTTAGGGTTGCAAAGGGGGAAAGGACGGGGGCTGCTGCTACTAAACCAGCACGGAGGGGAATGCACGTGGGTGACAGAGTGGAGTGAGCGTGTGCGACTTCTTGGAGGGAAGCGTCGCGTGCCCGACGTGAGGGGAGTGTGCGTGGGCGAAACAGAGGAGTGCGCGGGGGCGGACGAGGGGAGTGTGCGTGGGCAAAGAGGGGAGCGTGCGGGGGCGGACGAGGGGAGTGTGAGTGGGCGAAACAGGGGAGTGCGCGGGGGCGGACGAGGGGAGTGTGCGTGGGCGAAAGAGGGGAGCGCGCAGGGGCGGACGAGGGGAGTGTGCGTGGGCGAAAGAGGGGAGCGCGCGGGGGCGGACGAGGGGAGTGTGCGTGGGCGAAACAGAGGAGTGGCGGGGGCGGACGATGGGAGTGTGCGTGGGCGAAAGAGGGGAGCGCGCGGGGGCGGACGAGGGGAGTGTGCGTGGGCGAAAGAGGGGAGCGCGGGGGGGCGGACGAGGGGAGTGTGAGTGGGCGAAAGAGGGGAGTGCGCGTGGGCGGACGAGGGGAGTGTGAGTGGGCAAAAGAGGGGAGTGCGCGGGGGCGGACGAGGGGAGTGTGAGTGGGCGATGGGAGGGATCCCTCAAAATAGAAACTGCCAAAACATTGTTCATAGAATGCTTCGGCAATTTTTAAAGTACTTTCAGGGTAACAATGTTGTTGGTTTATCTAGAGGAATGCTCAACAGTCGAGGTATCTTCAGAGAATCATTGGAAGGTGTGCATGAGCAATGTTCAAGCAGGTTCGGCAAGCAGTGCGCCAGCATACGACAAGCAGTGCGCCAGCATACGACAAGCATTGCTCATCCTCACTACTGCAACAGAAAAAAATCATTTAGGAGCCCTTCATAACCGGTTGATTAGCCACAGCACACTCAGAAAGTCATAAACTATAAAATACCTATAATATCAAAATGTAAAAAGGGGGGGGCGAGTAATGAAATCGTAAAATAATCACACATGAAATATACTATTTGCTGAGGATTGTAACTACACGTCGATCTATATTTCAAGGCCTACCATACATCACTGACAAACATTAATACAATACCTGGTCAGCCTTACCAATTACAGATCCAAACATCCTACTACATCCACACATCACAAGGATCATGCAATAATCTTGCACAGTAAATTATTTCAAGCACGACAAGAGTTCTGCACACAATAGCACACGCAGCAAATTTACGTCAACACAGCAAACGTAAACGGCATGAACCTACCGTTCAGTCATGCCCTTGATATGCAAGGTTATTGCACTGTGAGAAGAACCGTGATTTGCACGGCGATAAGATGGCGAAAAAACTTCTGGAAATTATCAGCTTGAAAATAAAACTCTGAGACTCGTGGAGATAATCACGGAAGTCACGGGAATACGGCGTTGTCACAAGCGATGATGATCTGCAAAGAAACAACTACCCACAAGCGCAGTAGACAAGGCATTTTTAGGTGAATCCAGAACTCACCTGAGCTAGTCATTAATTTACCAGCGGACGTGGGGCGTGACAAGGTTTCTAATATCGCGAGCTTCATATGGCGGGTCAAACTTCAAAGCAGAACCGTCCGCCACAGCAGTCTTTCAATAGCCTGCAAGAGGGAGGATACAAGAACAGTATGAGACAAATCTTTAGAACGCGCAGGCTAAATCGAATATTTAGCAACAGCCAGAGAAGAGAAGAAGCTGAGTGAGTGAATAAAACAGTGGGCGAAATTTCCATGACGTGAAAATGAAGAGGTGGTGAGTTCTGGATGGAGTTTGGAGGGGGAGAGGAGGATCTCGCACACCAGAAGGTAGCAGTGTGGTGTTGTATCACACGTGAGGATTGGTGAAAGCACGAAATGGTCTGCGAGATCGTTCAAACATGGTTTGGTCTACTTTGTTTCAGCGGCAGCTTGACGATTTTGGCGATATGGAAACCCTACGCCATTTGTTTTTACATTCGCCACACTGGTCCAAACCACATCCGCGCTGTCACATCTGATTGTGACAGCGCACCTTCACAAGTGACCCTGTATTCTGACGCGTCAGCAGCACCTTATCTGATTCAAAGTCGCTATAGCCTGCTTTGTTATTACGCCTTTGAAATTTCCATTCATTCGAATGCGAAGTCAGAGCTCTGATTGATGCAGGTTCGACACCACTGTGCATCCAACACAACCGAAGTAAATTCACTGTACCAAACCGAATTGGCACGTGCGGGGATGATTGGGTGAGGAACTGCTAGGAGATGTAGAGACAATGGGAAAGGGGGGACATTGTGTTCCACTCTTTCAGCACATATTGAGCAATGCTCACCCTCCGAAGCACTGTTTTAAGTTACGGTATCCATTGCTCGTGCAATGGTTAGTGCGCAAAGATGGGGGAAACCGAGATTTGGGCATAGTATGAGGCGTTGTGAATTTTGTTGAGGAGTGAGCGATGGCGACGTTGACATGGAAACGCGTGCGATGGGGGGCAGTGCAAGAGATAGTGTACGAATTCGCTGCACGTTTGGCGAGAATTGTGAGCGCGGATGTCCCTTCGCCTGTTTGGTGAAGTCGCGCCTGCTGCGTGCGCCGTCGCGGATAAAAGCGCACTAAATGTGCATGGCGATGTACAACAGGCGGAAGCGTCGAGTGAGTGCGAACAACACTAAACCCTGGGCGAGCGAAATGAAGGCGATGGGCGGGCGTGGCTGCAACACGGTTTGACTAGCTAAATTGTGCTCTTCTTGCTGTTTTGGTTAGCGTTATTTTGGCCAAGTGATAACATTGTGTGTGAGGGACTCTCTCTGCTGTGGCACTGGCCAGCACGTTTTGGTTCACAAACTGCTTTGCGTGAGTCAAGTTCCCAACTCCCAGCAGGGGCGTCGCAGCTGACGACGGGGCAGAGATACCCCGCACAAGTCCGCCAACACTGAACTTTGTTTCTCGTCGGACTCCCAAGCATAAACAGGGTAACCACCCAAGGCAAGTGATAAACCTTTGGGTCCACCCCCCCCCCCCCCAAAGTGCACCCTTGCTTTAAGCGTGACAAGGCGATTCCTAAGGTGTTCTCAGAGCGTAACATTGATAAGGTTCGGTGGTACATTGATGATGTCGAAGTTCTAGACAGATCCCATGGCGGTCTTGGAGTTAGCGTCATTGTCTTCCGCTGGTTCGGTACAGTACAGTTGTTCTGTGGCACGGCACGGCATGCCAATCGTACGCGGTTCATTTTCTTAGTGACTAATCCGGGCGGAGCCTTGCTCGTGTGACGTTTCAAAGGAACAGTAGAAAAAATATGTGCATGCAATGAAGGCAAAACCACAAGCCCCCACCAGATTTGTTTTGAAAGGTTCATACGCGGCCAAATAGTGAAACGCGGGCGAACGCGGGACTGCTTCCGCGCGCTCGCGGAAGCGATCTGCCCGCGGGCAGAAAAAAACTAAAACCCTAAAATTGCTATTGTCCGTGAGAAACAGTGACGGGGTTTGGGGGATTGATTTTCGACGAACAAAAAACACAAGTTTTTCTACGTTACGGCCATACATATCGAAGCATCATTTCTTAATTTCGTTTTGTCCAGAGAGTCGATGCACCAAATCGTCACCGCAGAGCACAGAATGAGGCACCTGTTAAACTGTATTATGCTTGTAGGCTGTAGTGGGGTAGCCAATATGGGGTACAACCCCAACTAGGGTTTCATATTTGTACCCAAACTTCTGCTAGTTCATTCATTCTTGCCTAGTTATTCTGAGATGGTATTCAGAGCAGGAGGTCCCTAGGACCTACCGACCGTTTTTTTAGGGCCCACCACCGCTCGCATGCGGTTACCACGCTACCCCGTGCCCTAGCCTCGTAGCGCCCTCGTGCGCCCTCGTTAGCGCCCTCGCGCGCCCCTCGTTAGCGCCCTCGCGCGCCCCTCGTTAGCGCCCTCGCGCACCCTCGTTAGCGCCCTCGCGCGCCCCTCGTTAGCGCCCTCGCGCGCCCCTTACTAGCGCCCTCGCGCGCCCCTCGCTAGCGCCCTCGCGCGCCCCTCGCAGCGTCGCCCGCCCGCCGCGCTGCCCGCTCGCAGCGTCGCCCGCCCGCCACGCTGCCCGCTCGCCCCTCGCCCGCCGCGCTGCCTGCTCGCAGCGTCGCCCGCTCGCCCCGCTGCCCGCTTCGCAGCCCGCTCGCCCCGCTGCCCGCTTCGCAGCCCGCCCGCCCGCTCGCTGCCCGCTTCGCGGCC